GTTACAATACCCTTCATGTATTTTCTTAAAGCAGGAATCATAGCACAAGCTTCTACAAAAGGTAATCTCACATTTAACTGATCGATTAGCTCTTTAAGCTTAGCTTTTTCTTCCTCTTTCTTAGGGGCTTTTAAGGCTCTAGGATATGGAGGTTTAGGTTTGTAGACACGAGTTGGTGGAGGTGAAATTGGGTCTTCTCCGAGGATTTCCCGGGATGAATCTTCTCTTACTTCTTCTCCATCCTTCTCTCCTACCACTTCTTTTTCAACATCCTCATTCGTGATTCTTTCTTTTTCTTTCTCCTTTTCCTTACCCTTTTCCTTAACTTCGGGATCTTTAGGAAATTCGGGCTCTTTGTAAGCTAATCCACTCCTAAGTGTGGTAGCTTTCACATGATCAGAGGGATCTGCTTCACTTGAGCTTTCGAAAGAATTTTCACTTGGCTCCTCTTCAGAATTTTCTAAGTTCTTAGAATTAGTTTTGCTCATTATGCTAAGGAGGGTATCAAATCTTTCATCGAAATCCTTTTGCATCTCTTTTAGTTCAGATCTAAGATCACTAATCTCTTGAGACATAGATTTTTCAAGCTCTAAATTCTTTTTGTTTAGGTTTTCAGCTTCAGAAGAGGGAAAACAAGGATAGGAAACAGGATTAGATTGAATACCCAAGATTGGTTCAGAAGGTGGTGTCCAACCAGGCTTGGAAGACGTTTTCCCGTGGTCAGGTGGCTCACGACCGCGGTGAAACACGTCTTGGCCGCGGTCAGAACCAGCACAACCGCGGTGAAAGCTTGTTTGGCCGCGGTTAGAACAGCCACGACCGCGGTGATCAGAAACGAATGGAACATCATGAATTTGATATACTTCTGCAGTGTTCATCATCCCTTGATCATAAGAATCCATTTGGTTGTTCCAGCCATCAAAGTTACACGTATTGTGTACCCTATTTGGTTGTTGCAATCCAAGATGACTCATTATGTGACGGAGACACTTTATAACTTCTGAAATTTCTTCTTTCTTATCAGGAAGTGCAGAATTACCAAAGGTTACTTGATTTCGGATGCTATTTCCTAAATTTTTAATGAAAACGTGAGCATCTTCTACAGATCTAGTTGTGAAATCTCCATTACTCGCTATATCAAAAGAGTGTCGCAACTCTGGAGTTATACCGTGATAGAAGATACTTAGCAGGTATTCCTCGGCATATCCATGGTGTGGACAATCTCTTTGGTATTCCCTAAATCTTTCCCAAGTATCTAAAAGATCTTCATCTTCTTTTTGTTTAAAAGTTCTTATCTTCTTTCTTAAGAGATTTGCAAGATTTCTAGTGTAAAAACGATTTAAGAAAGCAGTTTTACACGCTGCCCACGTTTTTAGTGAAGCAGGTGGCAAAGATTTTAGCCATTTGCTGGCCTTATCTCTAAGAGAGAATGGGAAAAGACTACACTTGTGGTAATCCCCATTCGCTGTAATGGTTGCACATAATTCTTCGAAAGTCTCGATATGGTCTATCGGGTTTTCGAATGAATAACCAGAGAATTGATTTTGTTGAACTAAATGGATAATGGGTACCTTAATTTCGGTTTTGCCATCCTTTGGTAAGGCTGGTTGAATAGCTCTTCGATCTCCCATTAATTTTTCGAGTGAATCGAATCTTCCAATCAGTTCATCATCATCTTTGTGTTTGACCGATCCGATTAGCTCATTGTCATCATAAATCGGTTCTTCAAACTCATCATCAGTCAGGTCATCATCGCTTGGATCACCATCCACACGATTTGGTGGATCACCAAGAGTTCCGGGAACATGTTCCCGGTCTCTCATTGCAGAGAAACCTGAAAAATTCAAAAGAAAAAGTAAAAGTAAACAAGTGTTCTAATGGATTTAAGCTGGGATTCGCAACGAAACAAATCAAAGTCCCCGGCAACGGCGCCAAAAACTTGATGCGAGCAATACGGGGTTTGTTGTTTTCGTTTTACTAAGCTTTAGGTTTTAAATTTATAACCCCTAAATGTCTGCAAGTGCACAGATGTGCGCTGTAGTACTTAGGGTATCGATCCACAGAGACTTAGTTGTTTCAGTACGAATTCACTGCAACACTTAAATCAGATTAGAACTAAAAGGGTTTTGGTTTTGGTTTTGGGTTTTTGGTTGTCACTAAATCTAAACTAGAAAGCAATTAAAAAGCAATTGAAAGAAAACTAAAGCAGGTAAAGCGATTAAACAAAGCGAATAGAAGGCAAGTAAATAACAATTAAACTAGGCGATTGAAAGCAAAGAACAAGCAAATAAAAAGCAAACTAAATTGAAGGTTGTAAGCGATTAAAGACAAACGTTGGGGCTCAAGGGTAATTCGCAGGGGTTCATAGTCTATGCTATGTCGATTTCAAGCATATGATAAAAGTAATCAACTACGTATGTTCTAGAACTCGAGGCACGGAAGTATGAATAGCCTACTTTCGCAGCACTAAACAACTATCTCTCGCAACCCTAATCAGTAGGTTTCCACTCTGATTCTGGAAGGGAGAAGATGCAATAGCAGAACAAGACTCATCAATATTCACAACTCAACTACAGGTAGGTTTCCACTCCTATAGAAGAATTGCTCGTTTCACCCTAGTTCAGACAATCAATGAAAGCTTTCGCAACATATCATATCAGATCGGCTTCTAAGTGGCCAGCAAAGAATCACGCAGTAAGATTAAAGGCAAACGAAGAACATCTAGAAGATTAATAATCCTAAATCTATCGATTCATAAGCAAAGACACATGAAATTCCCTTTGAATAATCCCTTTAAACCCAACTGGGTAACTACTCAACCATATTGTAAACAATCATCACAGAGTATTGAAAGTTGCAGGAAATTAAAGAAAAGAAGGAAGAAGAACGAAGAACGGAATCGCAGATGGAGGCGCGATGATGCTCCAGCGGCGGCTCCTCCTCCAAGGGTGGCGGCTCCTCTCTCTCTAGGGTTTGTGTGTCTCTCTCTCTTTCTCTCTTTTTTCGTCTCTACACCTTTAGGAATGACCTAAAGGGGGTATTTATAGCTTCTGGGGTGGTCCTGGACACTTAGGGCTTCAAAAATAACGAAAGGAATTGATCTGGGCCTTAATTAAGTCGTCGGGAAAGTGAACGACCAAAGTCCGCGGTCGCGGTGGCTCTACCCGCGGGAAAATAGGTGTTTGCCGCGGTCCCGGCACATGCTCTCTTCCGGAACTGCATTTTCTGTCATTCTTGCATCGGGAGTATCTGAAGATCTAACCGTTGGATTGTCTCCAAACCAAGTGCATTAGAAAGCTGGTTGGATCCTCTATGTTGTCTAACATTTTGGGGGTGATCAGACGGTGAGAAGGTCTTCATCGCTTGTTATACTTCTGACGGTCTGCATTTATCCAAAATTGCTCATTTGTTCCAAATTGCATATCTTTTGCCCAAGTTTCCTGTAAAGTCTTTTGAAACTCTAAAACATTGAAAACACTTTAAAAACATTGAAAACAGAGTTAAAACACCTGCATAAGATACAATTATGATCCATAAAAGTGGTCAAAATACGATGTTATCACCAACCAATCAAATTATAACAATTATCAACCAATCAAATCATCAAAATTTCATTAATCAAAACGACATCAAAAAGTGTGCGTTAAACCACATAAGAATTCACTTGGCGATTCGTCCACAACACAAGCACCAGAATTTCCTTTTAGTCTTGGCCTCCATGTCCTATTTTTACGATCCCTTACAAACATAGAAGGAATCTCCGAGTATAAAAGATTCATTGCCTCTGGATAAGACTGATTACACCTAAACCAAGCAAGGAATTTAGGTTTTCTAGCAGCAACACATCTATCTAAATTATTAGAAAACACAATATTTTCCCCCGGGAGATGAAACGGTATAACTTGCCAATTAACACGTGGTCGCCTGTGAGCACCTAGACATGTACAATAGAACAACAATCATATATCCAATAACAACAATCAATAGAATACCGTAAAAGAAAACTAACGATTAGTGACGTCCTCAAAAACGTAATACAAAACTCATTTACTAAACGCTTTCATCGAAGAACCCGAATGCAAACAATTCTAACAATGCAGACTGATAACCCGTGAAGTCGCGATAGACGCATATATATACCTATACCGAAATATATGCATCTATATAGAGATATAAGAATTATGTGGTTTACGCGTTGTTTATTTTTTTCTAGGGTTTCTTAGAATGTTTTCCTTTATTTACATTTTATACACCTCTCAACTACCGAGTCTCGCCATTTTAATA